TCCCTACCCTCAGGAGCATGCACTTCACCCCACAATTCAGTATCATCCAGAAACTTGGATAGAGTACTCTTCACACCCACATCCAAGTCACTGATGAAGATATTGAAGTCTACAGGTCCAAGGACCGAACCCTGCGGGACCCCACTACCTACATCCTTCCAGGTCGATACCAACCCATCTGCAACCACCCTCTGGGTGCGACCGCTAAGTCAAGTTGCCATCCACCAGACCATGTAAACATCTATATCGCAGCCTCTTAATATATTTATGAGAATGGGATGAGACACCGTATCAAAGGCCTTGCTAAAATCCAAGAAAACAACATCCACCTCTACTACATCTAAGCATTTTGTGACCCTGTCATAAAATGAAACCAGATTGGTCAGGCATGATCTACCTGCTGCAAGTCCATGCTGGTTTCCCTGCTGCATTATTTTTCTCACTGGACTCCCACAAATATGATCCTTCATAATCATTTCAAAGACCTTACCAAGGATGGAGGTGAGACTGACTGGCCTATAATTACTCAGATCCTCCTTCCTCCCCTTCTTGAAAATAGGGACCACACTGGCCCTTTTCCAGTCCTCCGGGACCTGACCCAAGCGCCATGAGTGCTCAAAAAGGCCGTGCCAGTGATTCTGCTATGACACTGGCCAATTCCTTCAGTACTCTCAGATGCAGCTCATCTGGGCCTGCTGACTTGAACACAGCCAGTCCATCCAAGTGACTCTGCATCAAGTGAGCATTGACAGTTGGTGAGCTGGTGTCCCTCTGATGCCCATTTAAGAACCCATTAGCAGACTTTTCTTGACCCCTATTCAGGAACACAGAGGCAAAAAACTCATTGAATAGCTCAGCCTTATCTCCCCCCCCTCCCCCCCCCTCACTAATTGCTCCTTTTTGTTCAGTAGGGGTCCTGTGCTGCCCAGTGCCTTCCTTTTACTCCCTACATACTTAAAAAAAGACTTTTTGTTCTCTTTAATTTGTGTTGCCAGCCTCAGCTCTTTATTTGCTTTGACTTTTCTAACTGCCTTCCTGCAAGTATGGGCCAAGTAGGTTTACTCCTCCTTGGTAGGAGTATACCTACGGCTTAGCAGGGCCAGGTTAGTTCACTGGGTTCAGCTGACCCACTTAATCAAACTGCAGAGCATAAGCCACACTTAGCCTAGTCCTGACAGACCTAAAGAAAACATTTTTCTTAAACATATATTACTTCCAGTTGCACAACATCAGTATTAGAGTAAAATACCACACCAGAATTGCTGTGTTCTCTGGTGTTCTGGTTAAGTGCTGTACTGCCCTTTCCTTTTGGCTCTTCTGTTGGGATTCTTTCACTTTCTTCTAAAAAGCGGTTCTTTCTGTGTCCAGATCTTAGGGGCTACAGTGAAGTCCATACTCTACTGAAATCAGGTGTTTTTCAGTTGGCTTCAGAAAGTCAGCATATCACACCTAGTCTCTAGAACTGTAGCCTGACATACACTCCTTTAAGGTAGTTTTAAAACTGGCTGAGTTTTGTAGACCAAGGTGTGGCCCTGATGAGTGGTCTGGGATTGGTCCATGGGCCAAATGAACAGTTTGGGGCTGGCCTGTGAGCTGGATCAGGCCCATGGAAACTTCCCCTGCCCCCCAGTGCCAGATCTGGTGACCACTCTGTCTGATCCAGGGTGTAAGCCACACACAACACCCAGTCAGGCCACTCTGTGATGCAAGCTGCATGCAGCATCAGTACTAAAGTTTGTGCTGTGTGTGCTGCAGTCCCAGACCAGCCAGAGCAGGATCCACATGCGGGAGGTGTCTTGGACTGGCCTCAAGCTACATGCAGTACGGTGCTGGAGCACATGCCATGTGTAATGCAGCTCCCAGGGCCAGTCCAACATGCACCATCTGTGACATGGGTTAACTTGTGACCCAGGGTCAGTACTGGGGGCCAGATGGCGTGGCTTCAGGAGCCAGATGCAGGCCACAGGCAGTGTCTTTGACACCTCTGTTATAAATCATTCGCAAAATTACTTTCTAAAAGAAAAAAAAAACTACTTAATTGTAGGTTTCTTTTGTTTGTTTTTCCAACAGTTCCCACTGAATTAAAGCAACATAGGCAAACAGTAATAATTTTACAAAACTTCACATAATATGTAACCTATTTGAATAACTAGTTTTCATAGATTATTAAAAATGCATACATAGTTACTGCTGTCTCCCATGTTACACATGCTTCTTATTCAAATTCAATTACATGCTCTTCAAATCTTTTTCTCTCCTCCAAAAACTCGAGAACTGTTCCTTAATTCAGAAATGTCATATAGTGAAACAATGCCTTTTTTGTTTCTGATCACCAAAAAACAATAGATTTTAACTCTAATTTGGGTATTTTGGTGTCACAATTCCCTTTCATAGAGGCAACTTGTTATTAAAGTCTCCTTGACAAAAAGTTAATTACTGTTCATACTACCATTCATAAATGTAGTCCATATCTTCTAAATAGTTTCCAAAAAGTTCCCGTCTGGAAACTGGTGAATACTGCTAATTCCAGTACCGTATGCATTTCATGCAACAGAAAAGCAGTTCATGTAGAGTGAGTTAAATTTTTGGTTTGTTTTTATTATGTTTTTAATTGCAGGTAGAAGCTGCAAGGAAACAGTACAATATACAGATTTCTCGACTATCAGAAGAACTTACTGCTCTCCAAATGGTACAGTCCAGACTTTGTTGAAAATATTCCTTACCATCAAAATGTTTGAATTCTGTATTATATTCTAATATGCTCCCTCTTATAGTTATCTAATTGCTTATCTAAATCTAGAGAGACTTGAACAAGTTGTTTGAGACCCTCAGTAGGGCATTTAGATGTCAGTTGTCAGCAGCCATGAAATGCCAGTTCTGTTTTTTAAATGAAAATGTATTTTAAATTATAAAAATGATTTTTTTTTTATAAATTAATGTACCGTTACAGTTCTTCCTATTCTTGTTCTACAGTGTCATAACTTTTCAGGCTGCCTGGAATCTGCCTCACACAGCCAGCTTCTTGCAGTGCAGCTACCTCCTACTTAGCTGCCTGCCTACGCAGCAAGGTTTGCCTGCTGCACTTTCCCCTTAAAGTAACAGGAATTTTTGGATCCCTGATACAGGGCTCTTTCAGTTGTTTATAACTGTCAGTCTTCATGTGGACTGAAATATTTCAGTTTTGATCTCTCCATGAAGAGGCATTTTTTAAAGATTCAGCAGAAAGGGTCTGACTGATTTCAGACACAAAGAGGAAAAATAGTCAGTAGAAAACAGTTGCAACTTAGACAGTTTTGCACCTGATTGGTTTGGGTAAGGAATTTGAAATACTATTTAGAGGTAGCACTTGATTTAATGTTTACCTTTTGTTGATTATACGAAAATCAGTTGGTTTGGAGTGCTTAATTTGATATAGAAAAATGTATACCTAGAACAACAGGGTTTTCCAGAACTATTTTCTTGGTTCTGTAAGGTGATCCTTTTGGTGCCGTATCTACACATTCGCAGACTGTAGTTTATAAGAACCTTTGCATCCAAAAAAAATTCTGTTAGTCTGGTTGTATATAAGACATTGCAGTCTGTCCTCTAGCTAGTAGTTTCAGATAGTGGCATTTAAGTATCCCCTGTCTTATTCAGTATATAAATTAGATAGTACCCAGTGAATTAATAAGGATTACAAATATAGCTTGGTTTTCTATAGGAATGTGGAGAAAAGCAGAGTCAAACAGAACGGGCTATTAGAGAGAAGCGAGCAGTGGAAGAAGAACTTGAAAAGGTAAGAAAGAAAATTGCATATTTGCACTTCAAATTTTTTTTATTGTTTTATTAAATTAGCTTATGATATATTTTACTATTGTTTTTCTCCTGAGTAATACCTGTTAAAGCAAGGTGAACAGTATACCATGATGCCTGTGTTTTGTCTTTTTTATTTTTAATTTTTCTTTTTAATTTCAGGGTTCGGATTTAAAATTAAATAAAATGGATTTCATGTTCCATTTTAGAGAAGTAGTAAATAAACTGTAAGCAGTGGCTCTGAGATGATGTTCCTAAACCAGTAAATGGCTGCTTAACATATTCATTAGGTTCCTGTTAGCTTCATGCAGGTTATGACAAACAGTAGTAAAACCTGTTTACAAATATTTAAGAAGTGTAAAAGCTGGGGAGTAGGAGAAAAATGTTTAACATAATCCAGTGAGTAAAAGTAGGAGCAGCAGTTGAAACTAAAGACCACATATCAAGAAAATTAACTGACTGCAAGATCTATAAAACTATTATCTTAGTAGCAGTTGTAATGATGGAAATCCCATTATATCAGCTACTAAAACTGCATGGAACAAAGACAGCGATAGTATGCTGATAGCCATTCATGTGATTAAAATGAGATATTTACATGAAAGCCTGCTCCACAGATATACCGTGAAAACCAAGGAAATGAATATGATTACAGAAAACTGGAGGAACTGCACCAAAGATGCCTAAGAGCAGAAAGTGCAAAAGATGACCTTCAATTGAGTCTGCAGTCAGCACAAAACAAAATGAAGTATCTGGAAATGAAGTGAGTAACAGATGTCTTACAAATTAGGATTTCACTAAATATTCCACCTAATCTTTGAAGTGTCATAGCATAAAATGTTCTTAAGCAGCAGGAAGAAGAGTAGTAGGCTTCTTATTGTTATTCTTGTTTAATTGTAACAGCATTACTACTGTAGTAATATAAGTGGGAATAATATTGTTTAGAATTCAAGACAAGATCAGAACTGTTCTATAACACAGAGAAAATAGAAAAGCGAAGTCAACTTCGTAACTAATAATCTTAATATGCAGTATTATCTGTTTGGAAAAATCACTTTATGTAAAAAATACAGCAGAATTTCTGCATTCTGCATTTACTAGAATTATTGTCTAGTAAATTAGGCTAGTTTCTTTTTGGTATTACACTTGCAGTACTGAGATTAAGTTCTTTGTACTGAACAACTGAAGAAGAGTATTTTTTTCCAGATTTTTATTTTTCTCACAGCCTTGTTTCCTCCTCTCCTTAACAACTACTCAAAAACTCTACCAGGGGGTTATTTAAGGTAGCACTCTACCTTAAAGAAGTTCTCCCTGTAAAGCACTGTGACCTGCCTTCTGACACTTTAAGATTTGTGATGTGCTAAGTGTTGTTTCTTCCTAAGGTTCATCTGTAATATGAGTACTTTTTTTCCTCTAATGGCTTTGTAACCTTATTCTCTTGTACACTCACCTTTTATTCAACAGTCTCTTGCTTCACTACTATTTTTTCTTCCCCCAGTAGGGGAGAAATGTGTCTGTATTAATTGGCTTTAAGGCTATTCTCTTCAAAATGACTAAATTCAAAGTCTTCTGGCCTCTGACAAGGAGTTGAAGGATAAGACCTTTTCTGCTTCAGAAACAGGAGACAGAGGGTAGGCTGTAGGAACTAACTTCCAGTCAGTTCCTAGCCAAGATGTGCATTGAAACAGTTGAGCTGGCGGCAGAGGAATAAAATCTACTTTCCTGTAAAGGAAGTATTCCCATAGTTTGTAGAGCAACAGGATAGGTTCAACTGAAGCCTTCAGACTTTCTCTATGAATCTATTAGAAGGGTCATCCATCTGTAGTTTTTCTGAATATTTTGAGTTGCCTACCTGACAAAGTAGATGTGGAGTTTGGTAAAAAGTGTTACGGAACAAGATACCCTCAGAAATCTGTAGGTTCCATTTTAATTCTCCCTGAATAGACTGAATCTTTTTTTTCCCTGTGGGATTAAGAGAAGGAAATTGTCTTAGGTAAGTTTTCATTCTAGAACCATTCATGTCAGATAGTCTGAATGTCCCACAGAGGACTACATTATGCTTTATTTGGCTGTTGCTTAGGTAGCAGTTTGAAATCCCTATATTTTACATCAAGGTTCTCCTGCAGATGGTGTGAAAGAAGTAGCACTTAGAAGCTTTGTTAGCTTATTGTTCTGGATAGTACTTGCTTCAAACATATGACAAGGTTAGGCTCCAAGCAAGTATTTTGTGAAGGCTGTGTGAATGGAAGGTGCTAGAATGAAAAGTCACAAGATAAAGAGCATTTTCCTTTTCTCTCCTGGCCTATGATACCCCTTACTCTAAATCTGAGTAGGCGTGACATAGAGGTGTTTCAAGCATGCTTGAGAGAATTGGGCTGCTAGCTATAGTACCATTTTTGAAGCTAGAGCAAAGAGTTGTGAAGCCCAAGTGCTCACAAGCGATTGAAAGAGAAGTGGATGCTTTATAGCAGAGAGCAAAACACAGCAATGTTCAGAGAAGCTTCATGCATCTTTTACCACTTAAAATGGGAGCTCTGTTTCCCCTGGGTAAGGAGATTACTTGATTTTTTTAGTTCGTTATATAAATTGTTTCATTGCAGAAAGTCTTTACTATCACCTTATGCTTGCTCCTTTGCCGCAGACATGTTTGCCTTCATCAAACCTGCACAGAAAATCCATATTTTATAGTGCTATCAAAGCAAAAAATGTGGTTAGTACTGGACAGTACTTTACCTAAAAAAGATCTAAAATGTATGGTATCTTAGAGGATGGGATCACTCAGGAGTGAAGTAGAAATCGGAAAGTGAGGATTGTGTTGGTATTTGATATCAAGTTTGTGGTAGGAATCATAAGTGACATGGGGAAAATAATAGGGAATGTTATAGGGCAAAAGTAAAGCTGTAATATAGCAAATGGGAACAATATATCCGAAGTCCAAGTTTCAGAGCTGAGGGAGTTAATAAGTCTTCTGAACTTTTTACCTCAAGACTCTTGCATCAAGACTCTTAGTTCAACATCCTTTATATTATGGCTCAAAAATACTCACCTTTAAATGTAGTTTGTTTAACAAAAGCATGCCTTGTTTATTGGAGATGGAGAGAGTAAAGTTAATTTTCCATGATCACTTTACTGAGAAAAAAGAACTTTTTAAATTTCAATTAAATATTCATGCTAAAGTTTGAGCCTCCTTATTTTTCTTGAATATTGACCCTGCTGGAAGTTGGAAAAAATATTTAAAGCATGAAGTCTCACACACTAGAATTCACATTTGCCAGTCTTAACAAATAAGTCAGTGGTAAGCATTATGCATTTTAAACATGAGAATTCTGCCTTCTAAATATAAATTTCATAATTGAAAGGCATGGACAAAAGATAAGGGTACTCAAAAAGATATAGACTGACTTTACCTTCTGATTAAGTGAGAATCAATTGTTTTTTTCTAGCACTGAGGAAGAGATATCTCGTTGCCAGGAAATGGTTCGTAAGTTGCAAAGCATTCTGGATTCCGAAAGAGAAAAGTCTGGTTGTGTCAGTGAACAAAGGCTACGACTACAGCAAGAAAATGAACAGTTGCGAAAAGAAATAGAGGACTTGAAGAAATTTGCCATGGAGGCACAAAAAAAGGCTAAATTCAAGGTACTATAAAAAAGTAATAATGGATGGACCTGAATTTATAATTGCCTCACTCTGAGAATGGAATTCATGAACCCAAATCAGATGTTTGAGATCCCTATACAGCAGAGGTGCTCAAGCTGTGGTCTGTGGGCCAAATGTGGCCTGTGGAACTACAGGGCTCCCCACAGGTTGGGAAATTTGGTGGCAAGGGAGTAGTCGCAGTATTGCCACCCCTTCTCACTGCCAAAATCCCAAACCCACACTCCCTTTTTGTTCCACCCTGCAGGACCAAGCTATACCCCCTTCTCTCCACCTGGCCAGGTTGGATGGGGGGCCAGGTCACAGCCTCTCCCCCCTACGGGCCCAGGTTGGGGCTGGCCCAAGCCCCCTTCCACCATGCAGCAACCCATCACCACCCCGTCTCATGCCCACCCAACCCTGGCTGAGCAGCCCTTGCCCCCGCCCTCACCATGGGAGGGCGTTGATCTGCACCCCCAATGCCCCTTCTTCCCCCATCCCTTTCCACCACACAGACTCACCAGCTGGAGGCAACTGTATTGGAAATCAGATCAGTATCACCAATATGCCTCCTTAAATATCGGGTATTGGTATCAGCCCCCAAAATCTCTATCAGTGGACCCCTAGATGTAAGCCTTTCCCCAAGAGTCTTACATTTTAATGATGCTTCCACATGGCAACCCAAATGCAGATGTGTCCAAGCTAGCTGTCCAGATACTGATAAGAACACAGCTTCTAGCAGCACAGGGTTCAATATAGCCTGCAAAATCTGCCCGCCATCCTGGGTAGATACTTAGGCTTGCCCAAGCTGACCTCTGTGCTGTTATGTTACTGGTACCTGAACTAGGTAGTTTAAAGTTAACTTGGCTAGATCTATTTCAACTGCAGTCATACCTTTAAATTTTAGGGGAGAAAAAATAAAATTACTTGTAGAATATAACTAAATAAAGACAGAGTAACAGCTCCATTATCCTTTATTTTTAAGTGTACTACATGTTTGAATTGGTTTTAGGCAAATATTTCTATTTGAGAGAATAAGTAGAAATTGGACACATTGATTTTGTATTATGTGGACATATTCTAGATAAGCACAATGGAACATGAGCATTTAGTGAAAGAGCACGGATTTGAGGCCCAACTGAAAGAGCTAGAAGATGCTAACCAAAATTCCTCTGGTGAACTGAGACGTCTTTTGGTAGCTCAGCAAAAAGCAACAAACCGATGGAAGGAAGAAACAAAGAAGCTGACAGAAACAACAGAGACCAGGATCAGTCACATGAAGTAAGTTCACTCTTGTTAGTGTTTTTCTTTAATTAGTTGCACTCTTCAGTTTCGGTCATCATTATGAAACTGTACATGCTGTGGAAATAAAGGATGGTAAGCAAAACATCCAGTCCAGAGAAAATGTTGCATTTTCTGCAGACCAACAAAAGATGCTGCAAAAGCAATGTTTGGAAATTTCTTGCTCAGTTTCTGCACTGTTCCAAATTTAGAAAGGCAAATATAGAAATTAGAGCTTTCTACCTCAGCTAAGGTACTATACTATTGTGTACATTTGACATTTTATTACAGAGAATAGCTGTTACGTTTTTTTTCTTTCCAAGTAAACTGTCATGCTTTAGGAAACTTGAGCTCTGGTTTATGAAATTTTCTATACAGTAGAACCCAGTTTCTTCTCCGGGCCAGATTCCTAACCAACTAGCCAAGATGAGGGTTTGCAAACTAACAGGGAATGCCTTTATACCACACGAAAGACCTGCACAGGACAGATGGGCAGTGTCTCCCTAATTCAGCAAACTGCTGTGAATTAAGCAAGTTGTAAACCGCTTGGAAATGAAAAATCCAGGTTCCACTATATTTTACACTTCTTGAAGTTACCCTCCTTAAATTCTGTTGCAGGTTATCACTGAATTTTAAGAAAGCTCTGAAAAGCATTGCCTGTTGGAGGCCGCATGAGTATTGTCTTCTGATACCAGGTGTTCAAAGATGAGGTTATAAAAGCATCGTTTGAATCCATTCAGTTCAGTTTCTGTCTTTTCTGGATAGATATAATTTGTGAAGGACCTTATGCTGTAGGCAAGAGAAATTTTAGGCAACGTTTTATACAGTTCTTCCACCATTCTTATTGTTAAACAAAACCACGTCTATCAGACTAATATGGCAATCAGAAAGTTAATTCTGACAGATACTGTTGAAGGTTAATCTTACAGCTCATCTTAGTACTTCCACTGTTAGCAATAGTAAAACTGACTATACCCTGTTAGTTCCAGTGCTGCTATTAATGGGATTTGGCAAGTAGACCTATTTGCCCAGTGAGTTGCCTATATTATCTGCAGGTAGGTACAAGAAGTGGCAACTCTTAATTTATAAATATCTATCCCAGCAACTAAGTTAATTGCTATATATGTTGTTTCTTCTTTTTTTGGCTACATGAAAATATTAACAACTGGATTTATCAGTTCAGCAAACAGATGTATTACGTATTCTGCATTTATCTAGGCCTTGTTCTTTAACACATGGTGTTGTCCGCCCAACCTCTCAAGAACATTTTACATGTTCCTAAGATTTTAAAAATACAGAAAACGAGGAGAAAGTCTGAATGGCACCTTTTTACTTGCTGTGTGTTACTGACTACAGTCCATTCTCTAAGCAGTTACAGAAGGAAGTATACTGGGCTGTGTTTTCATTGTGGATAAGATGCATTCAGTTTTCACATTAGGAAAATGGGTAGGCTACACAAAACACAGGAAGTTAAAATTCCTTTATATAGCTTATTTTACTTCCTGAAATGCAGGATATATTCAAATGTTCATAATAATATGTAGTAAAGTATTTCTTCCTTAGGAAGATAATTATGAAATTATAATGCTGTATTTACTTGCTTACTAACATACACTTTTTCCTCTAAAATTAAAGGGCTTGTCTTCAGTGACAAAAATTGATTTTTATTCACTGGAATGGGGAGGAATAGAAGCAAACAGATGCTGTGCTCCTTGTGTCTGGCCCCAGCAACCAGAAAGGGTGGAGTCCTATGTTAACCCTCTCACAGCTGTAGCTTTTGGCTGAGCACTGTAGCTTGTGCTTCAGCAGCTGAGCTGGCTCAAGGCAAGTGAGCGGCTGCATACACAGTATGTTGTATTTTGATGAAGCTTGTGGTGTGGAAACAACCCTTCATAATTTATATATATATACAGGAATTTATATGAAGAGCTAGTTATGCTAAAGAAGTAACAGTCTTGCTACTGTCCCTACAAGAGTTGGGGGCGTAGCCCTGTTGCTGCCCTGCCATGCCAGGAAGTTCCTTCTACCTCACTCAGACTTTCCAGAGTGTCACTCTGAGTATCTCCAGAGTGATAACTCAGTGTTTCCAGGAGGACTTACTCTGTCACACAGTCAGTTATGACTTTGGAAAATTCTTTTTTTCTATGTTATGCTCCCAGAAACAAGATATGTGTTTTATTTTGGGGCATATCTTACGTAAGAAAATGCTGTGTAAAGCATAGACAAAAGTTTGTGTTTCAGGTATTGTGAAACTTCAGTTTTCCTTTAACAAGGTGTTAAAGGGGAATATTAAAATGTGAAATTTACAAGATTTCCACTTTGGAATAACCATTAAATGTGCCACTTCTAAGGCTATTTCTATTGTACAAGAGCCAAGTTAACTTCTCACTATTTAGCATGAGTTTTTGTAAATTGACAATTAGGAGTAGAGGAAGCATTTAAGACTGGCCAATGAGTACTGAAAGGGTGTACACTGAGGGAGGATCAGCATATGTAATGGATTTCAAAGGAAAACAGCAGAAAAGGAAGGTGGCCAAATACCATAGCTTGAAGAGACAATGGAAAGGGAATGTTGGGAAGTAGCAAGAAAGAAATGAAAGTTAGAACAAGATTTGTATCTGCGGCTGTCCATAAGAAAGAAGAAAGAAATAGGCTGAGAGGTTGAAGCACGACCTACTAACATGTATGTAATTATTGTTTTTTGTTGTATTTAGGGGTATGTCTGTTTAAAGTTTCTTGATAATATCAACATTATAATAGCTTCAGATAACACACAGTGATTAGAAAGTTTTAGAAAGCCATATCATTTCTTCAGTTGATGGGGAATTTTGGGGTGGCTATAGCCCACCCCATAGCCACCCCTCCCAGTGCTGCTGCTGCCACCCACCCAGCCCCTCACTGGGAAGAGGCCAGTGCACACAGAGGCCTGGCCTTGTGCCCACAGCAGGCAGCCCACCCTGTCCCTGCACACAAATCCAGGGGGTACATGCGCCCCAGGGGCGTGTGCAGCAGCAGGGAGCTAGCCACCTCCCTGTGCCCCCTGGACGAGCCGTCTGCAGGTCCGTCCTGCTCCCAGGGTTGCATTTACCACCCTGGCTGGCCAGTGCCTGCCCCTACGCTACTCTCTCCCTCACCATGGGGGCCTCGATCTGCCCCACCAAACCCTTCCCCACCACAGACTTACCAGCTGGACTCTGCTCTCCAAGCTGCCAGACTGCATTCCAGGCTGTGTGCATGCTGCAGCTGCATGCAGCATTTATCAGTGACATTATTGGCCACAAAAATGTCCTGTTATTGGTGCCAATCCAATATGCAACTGATATATCAATGCACATCTAGTTTTAGAAGTTAAAAAAAGCTGCTTATGCAACAGCTTTACTAAAAACCATTCAAGATGTGTTTAACCTGCCATGGCTTGGGGATAGAATGCTGTTTCGAATCATTTTATTCTGATTTTACTTTTCGTGGGGTAACCGTTATATACTTTTCTTAATCTGCCTGTGCTTCATTTTGGAAAGTTTTCCAGATTTTCTTACATAAAGTGTCTTTATGAAAAAAAACTAAATTCATAACTCACAGCTCTTCTATGAGCTATGTATCTTGTTTTTCAAGCTTTTATTAATTAACAGATTAGTATAGTTTTGACTAAATGTAATTAGTCAACTCTTGCAGCTGCTTTTTTATCATCTTATGTCACTGTTTGACTACAGAAGAACAATGGACGTAGTGTTTCAAAGCAAAGTAAGGTTACACAATTAAATCTAGGCTATATCCTGTCTTTCAAAAAACAAAGAAATGCTGAAAATGTTTTTCACAGCTCAACATATGGGGTCATAACTAATGTTGGAGATGATCAAACAGAACTTTCAGTTTAAGGAGAAAAAAACAGCAGAAAAGGGGCATGTCTACACATGTGCTTTACTGTGCAGTAGACTAATTTACTGCACAGTAAAGCTTCACCATCTAAACATGCACAGAAATTGGGCCAGTGTAGACAGCACTGTCGGATAGTACCGTCAGATACAGGTACTATTAATTGCATATGTAGGCACACCCAGGGAAAGTGAAATGACCAATGAAAACAAACACTTTGGGCATCTATACACATGCTTCAGGTGGGAAGGGAGGTGCTTTAATTAGAGCAGCTCTGAGACTCACTCTAATTAAAGCACCCACAGTGTCATGTTTATTCATCATCCCACACTTCAAAATGTCAGCGGAGGTGCTTGAACTAAAAATCATTGGACAAGCTTTAGTTCAAGCGCCTCCACCACCATTTTAAAGCACAGGGACTCTGAATGGACATGACATGGAGACTGCTGGGGTGCATTAATTAACATGCTTAGGTAGATTTGGTTATCACGTGTCGGAGCAGATGTCCAGCATGTGTATAGGTGCCCTTTCTCTCTCAAAGCTATTATGAGTAGGACTAGAACATTAAAATATTTCCATAATGGATCAGAAGCTTCAATTGAAATCAAATTGCTGATGTATATTAGTTTTCAAAATAAACTGAAAAAAACATAACAAATAGTTTTTTCTTTGAACCTGCATGAAAAATGAATAGCCTGTTTTGAAAATGTCCTATTTGTGTGTCAGGACTGTCCATATAGTAGTGTCCGGGAATATCCTGCAAAGATTTAACATCCTATTTACTGGTGTAATAGCTATTTCATTAGACAGGACTGCCTTGATGAGCAGAAGAGGAAAAACTCAGTTCTTTCCATATCAAAAGCTGTAAATCTACACACACTCCATGTGGAAAGCCTATATTATTTTGGCAGATGTTGTGTATTTAATACTAATACCAAGCGATTTCACCTTTTGGAGATGATTTCATAGTTTATGTTTATCATTCTTTCTCTGATCAGGTATTCTATGAAATATGTGGAAGGAATTATTTTAGATGTGATCTGAAAACAGTAACAATAGAAACTAATCAGAGTAATTTGCTAAAACAAGTTTGTCATTTAAACTTACATAAAGAACTTTGTTATTGC